AATGTTAAATGCGTGTGAGATTACGGTTGTTGCAGCTTTACTGTCGTATACCTGGTGTGCGCGTGCGTCTGTATACCTGGTGTATTACCGTCGTGCTCCTGGTAGCGCTAGGAGCAGGAGCCCAGGTTTGGGGGGGGTTGAATGAGAATCTCCTGGCCAGTGCAGGCAGCACCCCAGGAGTTCACAGTCCAGCCCAGCTGCAAGCGGGTGACCTGGTTGTTTTATGTGGCCGCGCTCAGTGGCATTTGACGGGAGTGCTTGCTTTTTTCTTTTCAGGACAAGCTTTACCAAGACGAGTATCAGTTTGTCTCAACAGAGGAGCAGAGAGAAGAAATTTCTAGAAGGCTTAGCGAGGCGTCCAGTTGGATGGAGGAGGAGGGCTATGCAGCTGCAACTAAGGTATTGCTGCGTGCAGTCAGGATACCAGTCTGCTATCGCTGATGCAGAAACGACCACACAGGCTGACAGAGTATTGATCCATCTTGATCCTTTGAAATTTGGTTCTTGAAGGTTTCTTGCTTCCTCAGTGCATTATGCACAGAACAAAACATGAAGTTCTTCCAGCCATGGGTACATCTTCAACAGCTTCAGCAGTAGCCCGTTGATTCCACGTAAAGCTTAGTCATGTGGCTCTTTTTACTGTATTAAGTACATTTGATAGAGAGAACGACAGAAACTGCAGTTTTAACTTCTGAGGTCTACAATGTTAGACGGTGGGCAAACTAGTTGTCTCCTTTCCCCTCTCCCCCATTTGCAGGAGCTGAAAGACAAGCTTTCAGAGCTGAAGAAGCTTTGTAGGAACCTCTTCTTTCGTGTCGAGGAAAGGAGAAAGTGGCCAGAACGCCTGGCTGCCCTGGAAAGTCTGCTCAACCACTCAACCATCTTTCTCAAGTAAGAGCAAGCTGTTGGGAAGGAGAGTCGTGTAGCTGATCATGTAAGAGATGCCAATAGAACGTGACCAGATCGAATGTGGTCTGAAAGTCACTAGCGCTTCTTGAGAAAAGACGACCAAAACCCTGCTTGCTAGTGCTCAGTTCTGCAGAACCCATTAACAGGAGCGTGCAAGCTCTGTTTACACTGCGGGGGCAGGAAGCGTCCAATGCTGTACGCACCATTTGCTAGCAGATTCCTGCCTCTTGGTCCTATGGCCTCAGCTTTTTCTGTCTTCCCTGTTTTTCTGACCTCGTGATAGCTGCTTTTGCTGGCTCTGTATTCTATTCTGAGCGTTCAGAGGTTGATTTAGGACTCTGTTTCCTGCAGAGGTGAGAGACATAAATGTGAAATGCACTAATTGGTTGGCATGTGCAATGGCTCGTTATTATTACGATTACTGGAGCTGTAAACACTGAGTTGCCAAGGTACAGTCTGTTTGGTTTAACAGAAATAAACTTTCGTCTTGTCTTTAAGGGGAGCCCGAATGATTCCAGAGTCTGACCAGATATTCACAGAAGTGGAACTGAGTACGCTGGAAAAAGCTATCAATGAAACAACGGTAATAAAGGATCAAATAATTCTGGGGGAGGGTGGGGGTGGCAGTTTGGGTTGTGTTTCCTGTCTGAAGTAACAGGTCGTGTACTTTCACTCCAGGTCATGGAACAGAGAGTGTGCGTCTTGTTTCTGTGCCACCAGCAAACCACTTCTGCGTTTCAGTGTTTTCTAATGCCCAACTTGACCCCAGACTGCTTTGTGGGGATAACAGTCCTTGCGTTGCATGTGGACAGTTGTCTGCAGGAGTGGAGGTGTAGCCCAGTAGTCTGGCTGCAGTTTTTAAAAGCAGAGACTGGGTTTTGAGGGTTCTGTTTCTTTGTTTCGTCCTATGTCTGGGTAGCTAAGAAGGTGGTGTAAATGTAGCAGGGAGCGGCGTTATCCTGAATAAGTTAGAAGGCCCAGGAGACTTTGAGATACTGTGATGTACAGTGGTTCCTGGAACCAAAAAAAGCGTCTGAAAAGCACCTCTTCCCTCCCATCCTACAGATCTGGAAAAACGAGACACTGGCTGAACAGGATAAGCTCTCTCCTACTGAGAAACCCATCCTGCTGTCCAAAGACATAGAGCTCAAGATAGCAGCCCTGGACAGGGAAGTGCAGTATCTTCTGAATAAGGCCAAGTTTGCAAAACCCAAACCCAAAAAGGAGAAGAACACCACAAAAACCGATTCAGGCAAGAATGCTACAGCAACCTCTGAGACCGAGAACACTATCCCTCCCACGGAGGGGAAACAAGAAGGTAAGGAGCGGCTAGGGAACGTGTATATAACTTCCAGTGTGTAATTACCGTGTGTAACACACTCGTATCTCCCTGCCTTGAGTGAAAGGGAGCTAAATAAGCGAAGAGAACAGTTAACTGTAGGACCAAATGATCCTCCTCTTAGTTTTCAAAGATGGCTGGGAAAATCTAGGTATAGCAGTGTCCTTTTCCCCCCACCATTTGTTTCTTTGGTTTTTTTCTGTAAAGGAACAGGAAGTATTTATAAACTTCCTAGGATGCTTAGTCAGTGTCTGTCTGGTTGGCTGGCTGCCTTATAAGAAAGATAAGCCATCAATTCCGTTATGGGTGTCCAGAGCAAGTATTCAAGGTTGCGTCCTCTATCGAGGAACAGAATGAGATGTTGCTGAGACAGGTTCGTGGCTTAGATGGACGCCAGGGGAAAAAAAAAAAAAAAAAAAAAAAAATCTCTTGGGATGCTAAGACTTTCAGTTTTCTGAACTTTTTAACGTCCTCGGGTTCTGAGTGCCCCGGTCCTTTTAAATCTAGACTGCTGTTTGTCAGCAGAGTTCCCCGCCGGTTCCTCTGGCCTGAGTAAGAGATCCCGCTTATAATCGCAGCTCCAAAGGTGACTTGCCTGTTCAACCAGGGAATCTCCAGGGCTTCTAGGGACACAAAGCCTAGCAGACAGCAGCAGTGAGAAATAAGGAGCAATTCTGTGATGCTTCTCCGAATGTTACAGAGATCCCTTGTGAGAGTGAATTACTACAGGCCTGCTGAGGCAGCACAGCTGGCTTGTTTGTAAACCTCGCCGCTAGTCACCTCATCTCTCTGCACCTAATTTCCTGTGTATTCTCCCTTAACTTCTGCGCTCTTTCCTTCTGCTTTGAACACAGACAAACCTGAGGATATCCGTCCAGCCAAGGAACCTCCTACAGCTGAGAAAGTAGCAATAGATGACAAGCCTGGATCAGACTCTGGTGGGTAAATGTTTGACTAACGGTCTGGAACGTGGTAGCTACAAATGCAAGCTGTCTGTGTGCTTCCTTCCATCTTTTTAGCTGTAGGAGGTAGTAAGGCGGTAGAACCCCTGATGGCGAAGCAATTGTTAATTCTGCAAAGAGGAAGACACAAATGTTGTTCTTCACTGTTCCTACATTTTCATCATTCGGTGTGAAGTTATAATGTACCACTGCCACCTGCCTTGGCAGCTGCTTTATGCCTCGGTCGCTGCAGTTTATAGCCAGTCCTGTAGCCGCAAGCCTGTCTTTGTTAAAGAGCTGGTGTGCAGGCGTGTGTTTATTCTGCCGGTCCTGTTGCGAGGACGGCAGAGTTCAACAGCTGGAGAGTAGTAATGTCTTCAGCTCTTTGGCGCTCAGAGCGTTCCCCTGACTTCTGTACCATAGACCGAGAGTTCGGTGGAACGCTTAATGAATGTCAGGGACTTTCAGCGCTGCTTTTTATGCTGTAAAAACTGTTACAGTGTGTAACTGAGTCTACTTCGTTACACAGGGTCCAAAAAAGAGAAGAAGACAGAAGCTGGAGGAGAAAGCAGGAAAAACGATGAGTTATAACACCCCTGAAATCCCACTAGTGTCAACATCTATTTATTTCATGGTTACTTTCTTGTTTTTATAATGGACCTGGTTAGTCATGATGTAAATGGAACACAACAAACAGTCTGACAACAAAATGGGATAGAGATGTAAATTTTATTTTTTCTTTCTGGGGATTTTGCCGCTACTAACTTAGTGAATTGTTTTTTGTTTTTCTTATGTGTTTAAAGGTGGCAGTGTGCCCACTGAGAGTTGTCTCTAGTTCAGTACAGAAGTCACCAAAGTGACTTTCCTGTGGAAAGAAAGCAGTAGAGAAACATCTTAAGCTTTAGGAAGTAACTTGGAACACAAACCCTGTGCCACACCTCTTCTGGTGAAGATGAATGGGATTAACGCAGAAGCATATGTAGCTGAGGTGGCGGTGTCTTTGCATACGAGGGCCTAGCGTAAAGAAATGGTGTGATTTCAGCTGGCGGGAGGTGCGTTCTCCTTTGGATTCATAGGACGGTGGAGCGGAACTGGGGAGGCGGACGCTCCGTGCTGCGAGATAAGAGAGCGTCTGTTTTCCGTAGAGCGTTGCTAGGACCTTCTCTGTCCCTGCTCTAAAAACAGTGAATTGAGACTTGACCAAAAGATTCTGTTTATAGTTTACTACGAAATAAAAAGCTCAGAACTGGCAACGCTGAACGCTAAAGCGACCGAAAGAAGAAACGTGTTGGCGCATCTTGTGGTGAGAACAACCACTGGTAACAGACCGCAGAGGAGGCACAGGGTGAGGCAGAAACAAAACTGGCAGGGTTAACGGTAACTACCCTCCTTCCTCTGTATCTTGTGTGCGCGGAGCGGCTTCCTTGTGACCCTCCATGTCCTTGGCCCCTGGGCCCCCTTCACGCTGCCGCAGTACAGGAGCGGAGTCTCTGATCGACTCGTGCGGACGCCTGTGAATGTGCATCTGATGTCGTGCTCCGTTTTGGCCTCCTCAACCGAAAATAAAAATTACACTTCCTGACAGGCTCTTGGAAGCGGCTTCGTTTGTTTCGGGGTACGTGCTCGGGGGC